TGTATAAAAAAAAAAAAAAAAAAAAAAAAAAAAAAAAAAAAAAAAAAAAAAATTCTCACCAAGTTTAGGGGTGTTTTCAACACTTCCCTCAGCTTTTTATTAACAATCCCATGCTCGTACAAGAATTTGAAACTATTTGCTATGTCATGTGACAGATCTGGGGTGTATCTAAGTTTCGTTGGTCATGTAGAAGAATGAAACTAATAATTTGCGAGATGTTTTCAATACTTGTCTGATATAATATTAAATTTTGGAAGTTATGTGTTTCCCCTGAAATGCAGACACCAACTGAGAATGTTGGACAAATTTTGAATTGTATTGAGTCAAGAAACAATGAAATCCCTCAGCAAGAAGAAGAATATAGCAAGAAACAAAACCAACAATTTGAGCAGAGAGGCATATTTAGTAGTAGCATTAGTGCTAACAATTCATCAGATGATGGATACACATGGAGAAAATATGGACAAAAGCAAGTTAAAGGGAGTAATTTTCCAAGAAGTTACTATAAATGTACTCAACAAAATTGTCTTGTGAGGAAAAAAGTTGAGTGTGCACCAAATGGACAAGTTATAGAAATTGTCTACAATGGTGCTCATAATCATCCAAAAACTCAACATCTTCGACGAAAAACTACGGATGATATATATGTTGTTGCCCAAGAAAATGGATCATCATTATGGAGAAATGATCAACAATTTGAGTACAATAGAGATGTTGCAGGACTAGAAAGAATACCCCCTGCACCTGTCCTGTCTGATGCCTCCGATCCAATGTTGTCGAACAATATCAATGTGTTTGAATCTCATGAGATTTCTTCTAAACTTACTATATTTGATGCTGAAGATGAAGATTTAGCCACTCAAGAAGGTAATTTTCTTGGTGATGGTATCAATGAGTATGAATTAGAGACGAAAAGAAGGTATGCATTTCCTCCCCACCCTTCTTTTTCTTTTGTTTGATCCATTTTTTGGGACGAGCTCTAGCAGTCCGTTCAGCCTGACCATCTGTCTACGGGTAAAAAGTGTGCTAAGTTGCTCGGACTGTCCAATAATGTTGCCTCACATGTGTCGGATACTCAAAAAATGCACTAGTACTTGTAGAGGATCCAATACTCATTGTGTTTGTATGTAACACGAATGGTGGTCTATTTAACTTATTTAAGTTGTGGAATTGACCTCAGGAAGAAAGACGGTTATTTAGCTGAACCAAGTTTTCTGTCAAGAACAGTGAGAGAACCAAAAGTAGTCCTACAGGTCGCGAGTGAAATTGATATTCTTGAAGATGGCTATCGCTGGAGAAAATATGGCCAGAAAGTTGTCAAAGGAAACCCGAACCCCAGGTATAAAATGCTTAGTTGTATGTTGACAAATTTATGTTTTCTTGAAAGAGTCCGAGAAACACAACTCTTTAACTCAGTTGGTATGTTTAAAGAATTGTTTCGTGTGTAGGAGCTACTACAAATGTACGAGTGCTGGATGCATAGTGAGGAAACATGTCGAAAGGGCAGCAGATGACTTTAAATCAGTAATCACAACATATGAAGGGAAACATAACCATGAAGTGCCATCAACAAACAAGACGAATGGTGTTTCAGGAAACGTTCGTTCAGCATCTATGTTGAACAACGGGCAACAGCCTTGCACAACAACATCTCGAAAAAGTCTCAAAGATTCAAATATCAGAGTGCAATTTCAAGATCTACCAATTCCATTCGAAAGAAAGCATTTCATGGGAAGCGAATATTTAAGGCCAAGTTTTGGTGCAAGTTACCTCGGGGACTTGAGTTTTGGAGCTACTTCTTTACAACTCCCAGACTTCCCATTACCATTGCCATTGCCATCGCGAATGAGCTTTCCTGCAAGACAGAACGAGTCTCACTTTCATTTGAATAACAATTTCTTACTGCCAAATGGTGCATCCGATTCTTTTTTAGCAGATGGGAATACACAACATATTATCGCTGACAACAATAATTCGAGACTCCTTAAAGCCAAAGACGAGATTCAGTACTGGACCTAGCTATTCCGCTAGCTGTCTTCTGATACATCATTCAGTATAGATTCTTTGCAGTCACTGCTTTCGACTTAAATAATACACACACAGTTCAAGGTTTAGAAATATATATGTATTTATCCCCTTTGATCAAGGTGGAACCAATCGAGGCTACGACACATTGGAACCAACATGTCAGTGAGCAAACAAGCTATATGGAGCATCACTTCAATGAAAGGCGATAACTGTGCATTTCAAGAACTTGCAACTTGCATAACAGGCCAAGTATTTTGGCCTAATTGTTGGCATCGTTACTAACATAAACATCAATTGTATAGCGTTAAGCAAGCAGATGTAAACGATTCATTAGCCAACAATGAATATGAGGGGAATTACCCGATTTTCCATCAATATTCTCTGTTGACATTTCTGAAACTGTTGCCTCTGTGACAACTCGAAAAATGCAGAAAATCTCCAAAATATCTCTCATTTATCTTCAAACTATTTACTACCAAACCTGAGCTCTCGAGGGAGTGGCCTAGCGATCAAAAAGTTGGAGTGGTAATATCGGGAAACAAGACCTGAATCCTGGTAGAAGAGACACTAGGTGATTTCTTCTCATCTACCTAAAAGGGAAACCCACTCTATTCAATGCTATGCATAATGAGTGGTAAAGTTACCCGATAAACGTGCAGGTGGATGGAAGTATATGCCCAGTGAATTAGTCGAGGTACATAAAAGCTGGATCAGACAACACCATTCTAAAAGAAGCAGCAACTAGACCCGAATAATCAATGTTAACTCTCTGAATTAATATCCTTCCATTAGGAACAATTGGTGAAGTAAAAGAGGAAAGGTCGCGGACTGTTACTAAGAACCTAACAGAACTTTTCACTTAGATGACACAAAGAACGGATTTTTACAACTGAACGAATATCCGATTCCTTCAAAATACAATAAGGATTGATATAGTGCCTCTATAGAACAGAAGTCATCAGAGGTTTCTGCAGAATTTCTTCTATACATAGCAGGCATCTTTTCGTTGAACCATAATACGTGTAGATAATGCTCTCGAGGCAATGCCTTACGCACGAAACATCATAAGTCTCGAGAAATCTCACATCTGTTTCTCTCCATTTCGCGCCAGCAAAATGCTTGTACTCGTCCATCACAGAAGACAAACACCAACTCTGCCATTTCCTTAGACAACCAACGATGCGACCTGTTCGATGCTGCAGGAGCAAATATAGTATGCGTTATTACAATCAGCATGAGAAATGAGAATCGAAGCAGCAATGCCAAGATCAAACAGAAGTTAAGAAAACAAATCGGATAAGATTCAAGCTTAAACGTCCAACTCTAACATCAAGAATCATATTTTACTTATATACACCAACAATGTAACATATATTTACACAATCGGTGTAATTTAATCGGTTATAGTAGGTTAGTTATTGTAGAAAAGTGCACATCTAAGAGGTGCTTGAACTAAAAATAACGAAATCAATGTACCTTTCCACGCTTGCAGTGGATAAGAACTGGATGATTTCTAACATCTGGAGACAAATACAGAAAGAAAGTTAACATGCATATATAAGAACCTAGCTCTGTTGCTCAGACTCTCAAAAAATGTTACCTCACCCATGTCGGATCCTCAGAAAGCACTACTTTTGGAGGATCCGACACATACCTGACACCATTTTTTGGAGAGTCCGAGCAACATAGACTTGAATTATGAGCCTAAAAACATGATAGGGAGAGAGAATGCTCGAGATTGTATACCCGTTAACACTTTCAAAGCCTCTGTTATAGCACTCCTCGACATAGTCGATGACTCCTAAACAGAAAAAACTTCAACTTTCATGAATCTGAATATTTCTTAAGATGAAAATTAACTAATATTTCTTCCATTTGATCATATTACATGAGGATTTAAGTTATAGACAGTGACTCCGTAAAGATCTTTTTACGTTATCAATGAATTTTACTCTGTGATAACAGGTCAGTTATCATTTTTCCCATACTTTTGACACACTCGTCATTGCATAGAACTTAAACTCATTATAAAAACCAAAAGTCGCATCAACGAAACACATACACACAATATCTTTAAATCAACTACTACTCAATCCTCAGATAGTTGGAGTTGGTTATATGAATTCGTATCTTTTTAGGATACTTATTAATTAGATTAGTTTTTTACTATAATCGTCAACCTACCGCAATCCTCCTCCTCTACCGATAAAGGAACAAATTATAGAAGAAATATAAAATGAACTACCTTGGTGCCATCCATTCCAAATTGGAAAAGCTTTACTTTGTTAAATTGAAGAAACTTCAAATTCTCTTCAGGATAAGGCTCTTGACACAAACATCTGTAAACAACAAAGCAAATTATCAATCCTCACATAATAATAATAACAAAAAAAAGGCAGTTCGATGCACAAAACATTCCGCATTAGCAGTGTCTGGGGAAGAATGATTAGAACAAATTCATAAAATCTCGAAAAGAAGAATGAGAAAGTGAACTTATATGCACTTACACTACTAGTGAAATTTAACACAGTTAACTCTATCAACCAAGACTCAGATAGATGGAAAGAAAATAACCTAATATTGTTGCCTCTACTTGGAATTAAAACCCGAGACCTCACGGTTTTCTCAACTAACTTCATTGACCACTAGGTCACCCCTCGGACGTGATACACAGAGTTGGCTACCGTTATAGGTCAATTTAATTCCACGACTGAGGTACGGAGAGGGTAGACTGTATGCAGACCTTACCCTACTTTGGGAGGTAGAGAGTTCATTTCCAAAAGACACTCAACTCAAGTAAAAGCATATCAAAGCAGGTCGAAAAAGATAGCAGAAGTGAAGTAATCATTGACAAAATACTATAGAAAGCACGACAAATCATCCTGAAAAAAGAACAACAACTATAATAAAATAGTGCGATAATTGAAATACCTACCAGAAACATCAGATAGTAACAAAAATTGAAGGACAAGAAACTACAGAAGAAATACTACGACTTCACTATCAATAAAAGAGAGAGAGAGAGAGACTAACATGATAGAGCTCAAATTGAGTGATTGCAAAAATGGGAAATTGGAGGACTGAGGGAAACCAGATCTATAAATGCAGTTATCTTCCACTGCTGAGAAATTTGTAGGTGGCATCAAATTGCCATCATCTTCTTGCAAAATCATATCCACTTTTTTTTTCTACTCTTTAATCTCACAAGATTCACTTAAAACTATATATAACAACTACGCCTCAATCTCAAGAAAGTTGAAATTATGACTCGACTCCAAGAAAGTTAGAGTTAAGCCTTAATTACAAGAAAGTTGGAGTCAGCTATGTGAATCGTCACAAAAAAAAGACTTCAACTAAAAATCAAGAAAGTTGGTATAACATCAATCCCAAAAAAGTTGGAGTCGAATATGTAAATCAGTCACGAAGAAAAGACTTTTACTAACATCATGAAAGTTGAAATTTTGTATTTTGCATTAACCCCAAGAAAGTTGAAGTGAACTATATGAATCGTAACTGAAAAAAAGTTTCAAACTGTAAATCAAGAAAAAAGGTTTAAATTGGGATTTTTGGATAATATTCTTCTAGTAATTCAACTACAAAAAGTTCATTTTTTTTGGGATTATTGTGGATTTTTCAAAGTTTATATAGACAATTATTCATATGTTGTGCCCTCTTACATTATCCAATTGTTTTTGACCTTTCAAATTAATTAAATTATGTTTATTTTCATTATAAATTATCATATCTAAGAAAAAATAATTGAGGGGTCACAATCAGCACTTTTTGAAATTATTTATATTATTTTGTTTTCTATGACAAGTTGAGTTTTTTGAGGTCACAATTACAAGAGAAGAAATAAGATATTGAATAAGTCAAGCTCAAATGTCACTCCAACTATTAAAGTTGGATGAACCATGTTGAAGTCCTAATTAATTTAATATTAAATCACGTAAAATATTAAAAAAAAACATATTTTATCAAAAACAATTCTATTTACAGAATTCGATCCTCTAGCTAGCCCCAACAACGGCCCACATGGTAATTGGACCACCTTTCCCTTTATACACAGTTAGGACTTGTGGGGGGCTATCAATTGTAACCAATAGACTGCATTAAGAAAAAAGGTCCAATTCAACCTTTCTCAATTTACTAAGGAATATTATTGGTTGATAATCGAGAAATTTTCAAAGGTTAGTGCATAGTGTGATTCGAAGTTCAGTAGATAATGAGTCCACCTTATATTGTTGTGGGACACTAATCGATAGTCAATTGTCCAATTACGCTCAAATTAGCCAAGACATTACATCAATAATATATCTTGTGTGAAATTGACCAAAACATTATTGTTTTTTTAAAAAAATAAAGATACTTAGATTTTAGAATTAGAGGTGTCATCCACAATAATTACTACAAGTTTTAGGAGTAAAAGAACATAAAACACTACTCAGACTTTTTAATAACGTCGTTGAGTGCATGTAAGATCCTTAAAAAAATAATGCATTGTTTATTCAAGATGAATGCGACAACATGTTCAGAAAACCCATGAATCATAGTTCGTTGAAAGAGAAGTGCATTGATTTCTTTTTACCTGCCTAAGTTCTTGTACCAGAGTCATTCAATACTTGTACTGGTGGAAGGCCTTACTTAGTAGAATAGCCGCGCCGACTGTCTATAAACCTACGTTGCTCGGGCTTTTTGAAAAGGATGCTATACATTCATGTCAAATTCTCCAAAGATACACCACTTCTAGAGAATCTGCTACATTTTTAACGATATTTTAGAAAAGCCCAAATACCATAAATATAAACTTACCTAAACGTCATTTCGACTATCTATTACTCACTTTCTTTATATAAAATTCGAATACCAAATAATTATAAAAAATAAAATAAAAAATCACAAAACTTTGTGACCCTACAATAAAAAAGAAGAAGAAGAAGGTTGTTGGGAGACTACATGGCAATGCCACAAACTCCTTCAATCTTCTACCTATTTTTTACCTTTCTTCTAACCATTTTCAAGATTCTTCACTAACCCTTTTTCCTAAACACCCCCAATTTGATCCTACATTGTTTTTTTGAAAAATGAAGGTTATTGAGAAAATTCAAGAATCTGTGAAAGATGACAGAGTAGTTTTCTCTTTTGAGTTTTTTCCACCAAAAACTGAAGATGGGGTTGATAATTTGTTTGAAAGAATGGAAAGAATGGTGTCACATAACCCATCTTTTTGTGATATTACATGGGGTGCTGGTGGTTCAACAGCAGATCTGACTCTTGAAATTTCAAATAGGATGCAGAATATGGTGTGTGTTGAGACAATGATGCATTTGACTTGTACAAATATGCCTGTTGAGAAAATTGATCATGCTCTTGAAACTATTAAGTCTAATGGGATTCAAAATGTTCTCGCTCTTCGTGGAGATCCTCCTCATGGACAAGATAAGTTTGTTCAAGTTGAAGGTGGTTTTGCTTGTGCTTTAGATCTGGTAAAAATTACTAATTTTGATTCCAAGATTTGATTTTTATGTGTTTAGAATGGTTTGATTGATGAATGCATTACATATTTTGAAATGTTGGGTTCAAAATTTGTATCTTTGTTGAATTTTGAAGTAGTTTGTACATGTATATGTATGTTTCTGTGTTGAAAATGTCGAGGTGGTTCCGGTCTTAGGTTCGACATGTTTTGATTGCTGAATACATTACACAATTTTGAAATGTTGGGCTCAAAATTTGATCTTTGTTGAATTTTGAGGTAGTTTGTACATATATATCTATAGTTCCGTGTTGAAAATGCCGAGGTGGGAACCATGGGGTCTCAGGTGCAACATGTTTGATTGCTAAAAACATTACACATTTTGAAATGTTGGGTTCAAAATTCAATCTTTGTTGAATTTTTAAGTACTTTGTATATATATATTTCTGTGTTGAAAATGTCGAGGTGGAATCTTAGGTTCAAATTCCAGCAGAGACAAAAAAAACACTATTTAATTTCTTCACATCTGTCCTAGTCTTGGTGTAGAACTACCTGGTACTTGTTGTTGGTGGGAGGTGGCAGCATCCCGTGGAATTAGTCGAGAGGCGCGCAAGCTTGGACCAGACACCACGGTTGTAAAAGAAAAAAGAATGTCGGGATCAGGCGTTCAGCTGGACCCATTGTTGATAATTTGTTGCATCTGCAAATGTTCATTGCAGTTCCAACTGAACACATTGCTTTTATCTTGAAACATGTATACATATGGAAAAAGAAATTGAACTTTATATATATGATGGCCACGTCCTCTCTGAACTCATTGAATTTAATTCTTGAATGCGACTTAGGTTCATTAGTAATAGTCTTTGATCTGGGATCTGATTGATTTGTTTCATACAGTAATTCTTCTAATACTGCTATAACATTTGTATTATTAATTCGATTGCCTTTGTTTTCCTTTGCAGGTAAAGCACATGCGGGCCAAGTATGGGGATTACTTTGGGATCACTGTTGCGGGTTACCCTGGTTAGTTACCAATCTCTTGGGATTTTTTTGGTGTATTTCATTACTTCATTTGTTTCAATTTCTTTGATTCTCTTTCCATTTCAGGACGTCCCAAAATGGTTCATACTATCATACTTCTATACTACTTTAACAACTTACAAGAATCCAAATTCACTATCCAAAATTTAAGATTTGATGTTTCCTCTATCAAACTAACTTTTGAGCAATTATCTTAGTATTTTCTTTCACTATTGCTAATATAAGATATACTCTCTCTGTTTCAATTTGTTTGTTTGAAACTAAAGATATGTGTAATATACCAAAATATCCTTTGAATCTTGTGGTCTTAAATATGTCATGTAGAATGTTGGGGGTAGAGAGTTACTAAATATTGAAAGTAACATTCTTTTTTAAACAAACTAAAAAGGAAAGTAAGACAAACAAATCGAAAGGGTGGAAGAATAAGACATAATTCATATTTTAGACCCTGTGTCAGGTCAATACTAGCACATAGAATGAAACTGAGGAAGTATAAAGTAAAATTTGTCCAATTTTGGTTGCTTTTTTGGTTTCTGCAATATGATCTTCTTCTACACTAACCTTGAGAAATATGAGGTTCTTCTTCTGTTCCGATGCTGATATTGACTATGTTATTGCTTTTCAGAGGCGCATCCTGATGTTATACCTGCAACTGGACTAGCTACACTTGAGACATACGAAAACGAACTTGCCTATCTCAAACAAAAGGTAGTTATTCCCAGCATTATGTTTCATCTTTGGGTGAATATAATATATTTTACATTAATTGGCCATGAAGAAGAAAAGTGAAGTGTTCTTGTTTTGTTCGTAAGTTTCTGACACTTGTGGGAACTTGTATTCTTCAGGTTGATGCTGGAGCTGATCTCATTGTAACTCAACTCTTCTATGATACTGATAATTTCCTCAAGTTTGTCAGTGATTGTCGTCAAATTGGGATAACTTGTCCCATTGTTCCAGGAATCATGCCCATCAACAATTATAAGGGCTTCTTGCGCATGACTGGATTTTGCAAAACTAGGGTATTCCCTTATTTTTTAGAGTATAATCCATTCTCAGTCTCAAATTAAGTGTCTGCATGTCAGCTCAAATGTTGCCTTCTGCATATTGTGATGCATGACAACTCCAACACTTGGAATTGTCATTTTACAAAATATTTTTTAGGCACTATCCTGTTGGTGCTTAATCTTGCGTAATGTTATGAAGCCTTTAATGTTTAAGAAGTTTTGTGGGCCGGTATCTGGGTCCCGATGAACCAGAAAAAAAAGAGATCTTCAAGCTATTCTCATCTAATAAACCTGACTTTGTTTGTTTTCGTTGAATGAATTCCTTGAATAAGACTCCCTTTGCTCGTCTTCCTCAATTAACCACAGTATTCTGCATTATTGGAATGTCTATCTGTTACTTCACTTAAGCCTCGTCAGTCAACCTTCTTAACTACCCTTTACGACTTGGCACAGTTCTTGTTTGCCACTGTATTATTTGTTCCACATTTCCACCTCAAAGCATGAACGACTTAATTTGTACCACTGCATGGTGGTGAAGATGATTTATCCAAGTGTTGCATAGACATGTTAGCTGGAAGCTCAATTTACTTTGACCAAATGCTATTGATCCAGTGTTTTTCTTCTTGTTGTTTCTTAGGTCAACCAAATTCATAAGTTCAGTTGGTATCCATTATATTCTTTATATATACTTGGTGACGCTTTTGTGAGCCGTTATTGTAGTTTATGTTTAGTAAAAAAGATAACTATGAATACGACACATTGATTGACTTGGATGTTAAGCTGCTCCTGGCTCCTGCATTCCAGATACTCATTTTTTCCCCTTTCTTAATGACATTATAGATCCCGGCAGAGATTACAGCTGCCTTGGAACCTATTAAGGATAACGAAGAGGCTGTCAAAGCATATGGAATTCACCTTGGAACTGAAATGTGCAAGAAAATTATGGCCAGTGGCATTAAGACATTGCATCTTTATACATTAAACATGGAGAAATCAGCATTGGCCATTTTGATGGTTAATCTTCTTACCTTGTAATTTCTGCTTTATAATATGTTGAAATAGTGATATGATTTCAGAAATAGAATGGATTTTGC